GTCATACAATTGGTGGTCCTCCGGGCTGTTTGCTGTATGACTGAATCACTTTCAAACCAGGATTTACCACTGTTGCACTTTTTTTTTGGTTCGGATTTTACTGAGAATGAATATAAGGTGATAAACATATTACCAATTATAACTGTAAAAATTCTGCGTAATGTTCAAAGTGTCCTGAAACTCTGACCTGAAACCAATCAACAATACACTGTGTTCTTCAAATCATGACACTTAGGGAATTGTAAGTCAATACTGAGGGCAGAGGCATTCAACCGATGTCACAGGTGTTGCTATCTGCATTCCTCATATGTATGATTACGTACTTACTTGTGTTGATAGGCATCAGTCATTTCTGCGACTTTGTTAGCAAACTATTTAGGTCTATTTGAAGTGCATTTTCATCATCCTCATTTAGGATTTGTCCTGGTGCGAACTTGACTGACGCAAAGACCAATCACTAATTATTCGGACTTTTTACATGCCCACAAATACGAGACCAAGAAAGAACACGATAGCGTAGTCGGATGGAATAGTATATTTGGGTGGTTGTACCAAGATACCGATGCGTTCCAACTAACTGGCTAGAGAGTCGAATACGAGCAGTGCAACGTAACACGACAGCATGCCAAATTTCTAAGATGCTTGACCGGGTGCCTTGAGCTTGGCGAGGTCAGCATCAATGTCGAATATCGTAGAACCCTAGGCTACTGATTTTGGAGAGGTGTGTGACGCTACACTCATCCCTAATTTTTCACCAGACGTTTGCATCATCAGTGTATGAGACCATGACAACCTCATGACACTAAAAACTTCCTTTATTTATGAGGTAGGTGGCGGGAGATCCAGGACTTCTCTGTGGCACTGCCCTCCGTACTGACGTTTAAGAAGAGAGTTGAGAATTGATCTTTACCCTCTGTCTCCTGTTAGCTAGGAACTGTAATTCATGCGAGTAGATTGCCAGTGATTCCGAAACCATTTTTATGGGCAACATTGAGCAAAGTACCTTGCTGAAGTCTGTGACAATGATATCAACAAGTTCTCTATCATTTTTAGACATAACTCATCTTCCTCTAGCTGTCAGGCATGAGGAACTTCCGGGAAACGCATGTTACGAGTGGAAAACCAGAATGTTGCCTCGCGGATGACCTATTACGATCTTTTTGATTACTACCTCTGGGATTTTTGTTACGGTACTAGTCGATTTTATCGGTCCGTAGTTTGATAAGTGTTTTGTGGAACCTGCCTTGTAGATAGGGATGACTGTGGGGTCCTCCCAGTAATTCGAAGTATTGCTTTGGAGTATGGAAATATAGCAGTTTTGTTTTCATTTTTACAACTACTGGGTTTATGTAGCTAAATATTTGGTTTAGAATACAAAATAGATAAAAACCTATCAATATTTCCCTTCTCAGGTGTTCGCCTCCCTTTTTTCGAAGCTATGAATCACCGAAACCAAGGAGATACTAATCCACTCTTAAGTTATATTGTGTTTAGTATAGAACTTTTGAATCGAATGCCGAAAACAAACCTATAGTCTTTATTTTACAAACTATGGTTGACTTCATGAACAGTCTTTCAGTGAAAGGACTGTTGAATCCAGATATACACACATCTATAGGTAAACAAGGAAATAAAACAATTCAGTCGGGAATGAATCCCGTAACGAAATTCATGTTCGGCAATCCAATACATTTGCTAACCAGATAGCTTTTTGGATACAGCCATGAGTAAAATAGCGAAATCCATGTGGCATTCACAATGACTATGGCATTTAAGTTGGTACAGGAATATCCAATGAAGGAATCCAGTCCACCAACCTTTCTTAAGAATACTATGTTAGATGAGGATGTTTTCTTCTTTTCGCTAAGTTATTTGAAAGCTGCCTAACAATATTTTGCAACCAACTACAAATAAACAACTTGGTTAATTGCATCCTTTTCCAACATGAGTTGAGTCGTGCAGCACCAGTAATGTTTTCCAAACATTATTGTAACTTTCACATCTTTATTGCAGAATTTTAAAATTAACGCATGGATTAGTGACAGAATTCTAGTTGCTTGATTCATGTGTAAACAAAATCTACCATTTAAATGGAATAGATCCAGATGTGAAATATAACTCACCGAGAATGTCTGTCTTCATTTACCGGGCAATGAACCACACAATGTAAAAGCTTATGGTAACACCTAGTTGCTCAAATCCCGATAGGTGGATTTGAGGTTCGAGCCGGTCACCCGCCGGCTAAAAGCCAACTACGCACACTAATATGCCACAGTACCCCACTTAAGTGGAATAGTATAGGCACTTCTTTTTACTGAGAAGTCAGTTAGCTTTATGGAAGTACTAACTAATCACACAATTACTTCAATATCTCCAGTTTTATACAATACAATTTTTGACCCTAGCTACCAGCTGATGCAGTGATATCTGGTGAGTGATGTTCGAATCAGAAAAAGGAGGCCTCTCGCGTCCCATTGCCGTTCGCCATGCTAAAATTATTTACCGATCCCCTGGATAGTGTTTACATGGAACTGCCCAAAATCTTGTGGGCTCTGTCTACTCCATGCTCAATTAAAACTAACAAGATTCATTATAAGTTTACCATTATATGACAGGTCATAGTATTACCTGATTGTCCAGGACAAAATAAGTGGGTCCGAACTCGAATCTAAAACCGACTTATTGACAGTCGTGTTTAAGCCAAATGAATCATACATCTACCAGTTAAATGCATACAAATCTACAAAACTAAATAACTGGAACAACCGGTTAGTGTAACTACATGTCTTCTAAAGACTGGTTAGTTTAATTCTGATCAATGTTATTACTTTTTATAGTCTCCTTCGGAGTAGCTTGTTATTTCTAAATCTATGTCATACTCATTTCACACCCAATCTAATACTGTAAAATGTTTGAGCGTTTTTGCAGCACCATACTCTGGGGCTAGGCATGTTACGAATAAAATTCTTTTCCCTAAGAAGTAACTTGCTTCGATAAAGATTTGCTGAACTTCTGACAATTCTTGAAGTTTGAGGTCAACCTTACAAGTCGGATAAATGATGACTAGAATTTAGAGCGTGTTTGGTAAGCATTTCACATGTACCGAATGTGATATGACACTTCAAGACTAATCTGCATAGACTGCTGGTTTAAGCATGGGGAGTGAACTGACTGAATGTTGTGACTATCTCACCTACTTGGGAAGTTGCATTAGCTCGAATAGGTTGGTTGCTGACGAAATGTCAGCTCGGATAGAAGCCTGTCTGAAGTTCAATAACACATCACTTACAGCAGCGGTAAAATACCTAGCTATGTATAAAAGAGCAAACATATTGCACGTCAGTCAGCTCTGTTCCACCACAGGGCTGTGAGACTCAGAGGATAGGAGTAGGCTGAAGGTTTTCCACCAAAAATATCTTCCTAGCGTTCCTTACTAGTGATGGAATCATAGCACGAACCATGTCAAGGTTAGGCGTAAGATACTAGGCGTGCCAGCCAATAAGGTCATGAACATTTAACAGCTAGCATGGACATATCTTACGTATACCGAGCCACCGCCTAACCCGAAAACACTGACTTGACGTTGGTGCTAGAAATCCGGATGTCGCTCACGCTTCATGCTGAGTGGAGTGCAGTGGATCTGCACACTGATTTCAGATTGATGAAAGCCTATCTTGCTTTTCCGATCCTGGCTTTCAAATCCTCATCTGTGCCACCACTTGTAGTTGAAACGGTGCTGCCTAGGTAGGTGAAAGAGGCTACTTCCTTTAGATTCCTCCCGTTCAGGTTGATTGGTGCTTGTTGTTGATGCTGTTGTTGGTTGGATATCTTCACCACATCTGTCTTCTCTACATTCACTTGAAGTCCCTTCCTCGCTACCCTGCTTCTTCTGTCAACTTGTTGGTTTTTTCCTGTAGATCTTCAATTTTGTGCGACAAGACATTAGATATAAATCACCATCGGCGGCGAAATCCAAATCTTCTAGGGTCTTCCCATAGGTCAAACAGCATATCTCCATCTTCTCACTCCTCACAGTTTGTTGCATGATCCAGTTCAGTACACCATAACAAAATCGGGAAGATCATCGGTGGTAGTAGGCGGCAATCTTGTCTTACTTATGTCTTCGCTCCAGAGGCGTCACTGAGCTTTCTATTGTGGATCACTTGGCATGTGGCGTTTTCATATAGCTGTTGAATGAGGTTGATAAAGATTTGTGACACTCCGTAGTGTTGAAGCAGCTGCCTGCTAAATTACTTCTCGTTTGACGCTGTCGAAAGCCTTTTCAAAGTCGAAGTTGAGGTAGAGTTGAGTTGACTGCCATTCTATGCTCTGTTCAGTGATGATGCGTAGCGTTGCGTTTACACTAATAACCAACAATGCAGTTGGTTTTCAGATGCACTTTTTTAATTGGTTATTTTAACGATCTCATCTGTGACCTCGCAGACTGATACGTTGGAAAAACACCGTTGCACATATTATTTAGCGGTTGACCTAAGTACCAAGCTTCCAAAGTACTTCTAGTGTTTTCTGCATTAAAAAAAACTAAAATTACATTTCCAAATCGAATTGTCAGTCTACATTGATTGGTTACTGGACAGCACACCAGTTTGGTCTTGCCTAGTCCTATGTTCTGACCACATTCCACCGATCATTTTGTAATGCATTCAATAATTTAAGAGAGTAAGCATCGCGGTGCACCATAAGTGATTTAGATGGTTGGAGGACATCCGCAAGAAGCGCTGGACTTAAGTTTTGTGCCTGCTGGCACACGGTAGTAAGGCGAATATCTGAAGTTACCGATGTCCCACAGGTTAGTCGCAGCCCAAATAAGTCAGTTGTAAGGTCTCCAGGTGTGGTACTGGCTAATGCGAGTTCGGATCTATCAGCAGATAATAGTTGTTTTGAGGTTGCAAATTCGCCTTGCTGACGAGTACCACCATGCACAAAATAGGCCCAAGGTTTCCTGTCAACTATTTCGAACCACATGCTTATCCACGTGCAACAGGAAGAGGAAAGATAAGTCACAATCAATAACAAACTGATTTCTTGACTAACTCTTTATGTATATAGAATAACCTCTACCCTTCCCCAACCCAGAAATATGTGAAGGTCACAATTAGAAAAATGTCCACACTATTGCATGATACCAATGAATTCATATGAGTGATGGATGTCACCACCCCAGCAGAAAACCAAATTCACCCACTATGTCGATTACACAACCATATGAGTTAATACACACTAACTGACTGAATCAATTTGAAGGCATCTATACGACGAAACCATACATAGTGTTTTATCATTTGAATAGACTTTTTGTAGGAAGGAAAAGAGAACTGAATGAATCACATAGAACAAACTTCTCGAAATAATTTATGCGAATCCAAAAGAGGGGATAGCTTGTTAGAAGGGAGGAAATAAGATGAATATTACACGCGTAAAAGCAGTAGGTAGAGAAGTTATACTACACCGTCAGCAAAACAGTGGTGGTTAGCAGTCGATGAATTAACTCGGAAACCTAATTAAAACTAAACATAAAATAAGCATTCGACACAAAAACTCATTCATTAAAAAAAGATGATTATACAACCATACATCCCAAAAGGATAATTTTATTCACACATACATTGAAGCACTGAGAAGCATATCACGGCAGTAATTTTACAACAGTGCAAAACAATTATGCATAGAAAAATGTACATTAATACAGCTCTTAAGAAGGAAGAAATGACCTTGAGACTCATCCCTCCCCATTTTTTCTTAAAAAGTAGTTTACTGTCCCAAAGAATGAAAGACACAACAGACTGCCATACAAGAATGTAAAGTAATAACAAACAAGGTAAATGAAATTATTTGGAAGTCCCAAGTTTGTGAAGTATGAGAATCTAAGGGGAGGGAAATGCAGCAGAAGAACAAGAAACAACAAAACCGCAAACAAACAATAGAACGAGTTCAAATTTAGTCAGCACACATGTAATCATTAGAAATGTGTCCCAATTTCGTCAATTAAATGTTGGAAATAAAAGGTATGTTATAGTTCCTAAATGTATATCGGCATATTCGAAGTAATAGTAGTAATGATTACAAACAACAGAAGATCTGGGTACAAAACTCACTAAAAAATAGCAACATCCCATGACCATCAAGAATCATGCATTAAGCATAACAAGTAAAGAGAAAGCATGCGATAATAAATATATACATGCACAAGTATGTGTATCACTTCAACTGGAGTTGCACACATTTTTGTACATTTAGGCGTGCGCATCAACATCTCCGTTGTCTGAAAGGCAGAATAAATCAATATGGATAGGTGACTACAGAAATAAAGGTTAATACCAATAGGGAAATGTAAGAATAATGATACGGATTGGTAGGTTAAATTGTGAAGTCCGTAACGAGTATAAGTTGAGCATATTGTCCACATTGACACCGGAAGGCTTCTCTAGCAAAAACTAGGCTTTATATGATCAGAATCTACTGAACTGCAGAATACTATAAACCATTTGTCTAATAGTAAAATATTCATGTAATGACCAGGTACAAGTTCATTGAAACGGCTGGTTACAAGCTACATCAATTGTATGTCAAGCTTATTGACGACAACAACTAACTGTTCAAAACTTAATAGGGTTGAGTGAATTTTGGGTTTGCATCTTAGATTACAGTCAGCGGTCCAACATACTTAACCAGCTTCAACTTGATAGACTAAAAAACCAATGGCTTGGTGTTGCACCCTGGATGAAGGTAGAATGTTGAAAAATAGTCAACGTAATGCCTTATTATGCAAACAAATCCTGTTAATATAATGCGAAGTAACAGTGAAATGAGTTTCTAAACAGAGCATAATTATGATACTATAGACGGTAATCCCCCGTCATCGATTGGACTGAAATGATCGATCACTACTGCCATATAGATTCCTGTGCAGATGCCTCGATATTGCCGGTAAATTCATCCTAATGGTAATGGTAGATACTGGCCAGCAGTGGAATTCAGAACACGCGCTTTGTCCTATGTTGGGGGGGGGGTTACAAACTTATCCGACGATCATATTACATTAATAGTCTCCAGCGAGTAACACAAAGGTAAATATGGTGATACCCGATATCCCTGTCGAACCACACTAGTTCTTTTCCTGCTCGGAAAGTCGATCGGCACGTGAAAATACCACTGTACATGAAAAATATCCTTATTTTTTTCCACTACGCAATGTGTTGTAGTGAAATAATTTTAATTACATATCAATGAAATGTGGGAGAAATGAAACGTGAATGATTGGCGCGTACTCATAATACTGTTTTTTGCGGAAAAAACCTACATACTGTCAACAAGGTGGTATCCATCACGAACTGTAAGTCCTGGGTTCGACCCCTGGGGGGGGGGGTAATGGGTGCGCATTGCTGAACAGTCTCATACCAGGAAGAAGCGATAGTTCAGTGTTACCAGGTTTTCAATGGCTTCCCAACTGATGTCAATCTGTAATGTATACCACTTTGTACTAAATAAAAGCTCCATAAACTTCCAAACTGAAATACTGTTAAGAATCATGTAGATCAGGGTAAAACCATTTTTCAGTTTTAATGGATAAGATGCACAGTACGACTTCACTTCAACATTACTAGTGAATGCTTGATATTAAGACACGAGCTTATCATCGTACTTTAGCAGTTTTACACTTCATTCTCGTTAGTGTTATTCGAAACTGAAGTTAAGATAATAGCTGAGTTACGTCTAAACTTAAATGCCACATGTTACGCTAATTGAAAACAGCTGAGTAATCTACACATGAAATAGTATCAATTTATGAGGTTATTCACTGGTTATTTTCAGTCATATAGGCCACCTTCCAAGTGTATTTTGTGAAAGATTCATGGTCGGACACTTTCAGTTCAGTGTCATGGTTCAATATCAGTTGAGCAAATTCATATAAATGCATCCATTATTTATATTGTTGTGAGTAGCGAATATCCAGGTATAAAGTTTGCTGTCAATTGATTGTAGACATTTAATAAGGAATACAACAACCTACAACACCATGAAACTTAATTTGTATTGAGTTTTTTTATCAATACACTTGTATCTGTCACAACAATAAAGACATTTTTAATCGACTGATAATTATAAATATAACTTGAACACGGTCACGAGACTATGACTTTCTATACGTCTCATTATCTAGAAATAACATATATTTAACTCTACTTTTCTTACACCTGAGTTACCAAATTAGTTGTGAAAATAAGATGAGACAATGAGAATTTTTTATTGTGATTCACAACACATGATGAGCTGATGCGTATAAATAGCACTTCCAGAAAGCAATGAACTCAACTGTAACTCAGTGACATGGTACAGCTTTCGTACAATTCTGAGTAAAAATCAATGTGTGAGGCCATATGATAACACTGAACTACCCAGCCTACAGTAGATGGCAAACGGTTTGGACTCACAAGCAACCGTGTGAAAGAAGGACGCACCACATCTCTACATACATACACAGAACAAATGACAAATATACAACAAAACCAATTATACTAGAAAGTCAGTGTTAGCTGGTTGGATGCAACTGGTGGGAAATCTCGGATCTAGATTTTGTGTTTGTTGGCCTTCGTCACCAAGGCATGTTTGCAGCCTTAGTGGAACTCAAGTATTCTCAGGGTTTCGAACGTGTTGCCCAGTTCTGCACCCGAATACCTTAGAAAAGAGCCATTCGGGTTGAGACTGACTTCCGGCAGGAATGGATTACATGAGACGAAGAGGATTGGTTGGCGAAATGATCCACAGACTTCGGTCAGCACTCAGGACTAGATCAGCGACCAACTAACGTATGTTATCCAATCCAAAAGGTCAATCTTAGCTCAAATAACTCAGTAGTAAGGTATCAAACTGCAGTACGGAGTGAAGAGGGTTCAAATCTCCGAGGCAGCAGCAGATGCACCTTGTTGATGGATACCAACAAGCACGAAACTTAGATCGAAAGCTTCCTGCTGAAAGGCCCCAAATTTGCATAAATCATCACTTATTGATCTGAACATTCTTAGATTATCGTTTCCGCACCGTTTTTACACCACAGCCAGTAGTTCATTGCCCCCCCCCCCATTTTCGAGGTAAATTGCTAATCTGTTAACGCTTGCTCTTACCATGTTAATGTACCAAGTTCTGGATAAGGTCATATGTCATGTATACATACACGTGTTTTGGGTTATTTGAAGAATCTTCTCGAAGGTAATGAAATCTGCCACCCAGATTAGTCATATCTCTATTGGCCTGGAGTTTGGAGGCGATGGTGTCTACAGTAAGCCGTTAGTTGAACATGCAAATTATGTCTACTGAGGAACACTTTCTGTCGCTTGCCTCCAAGGAACTGACACCTATCCAAGCGCATCACCATGATGAGTCATCTAGCTTAGTGACCACATGTCAAAACGATTGATAAAATTCGGTCAGTACTCAGGAGTAAACAAAACTAAATTAGTCACTCTCCAGTGGCCAATCATCGTAGGAAATGGGCCCAACGAATGTCACTTTTCAGCGACAATATACAAAATAATAATAATTTACTGATATAAAGGAAGCTACTTACAAAAACGATCTAATAGTTGACCAAAATATACATGAATAAATGCCATAACTTCTTTTCTGTCAAGTATTATAACAGGACTAAAGTACTGCATTTGCTGCCACTCAGTAATTAATTCATGCAAATAATCCAACTGCAGATACGATCAGTTGAGAGCGACACTAAAATACACCTTAGCAACTACTCAGATATCTTAGCAGCTTGCCAGAGTGACCTTTTAAAGCGATACTTAACCTAAGTTTAAATATCTTAGAAACTTGTGTGTGGTAGTGAATTATGGAGAGCGGAAATAAGATTCCTCGATGGTGAAAGTGAGACCCGAGATGAGCACTTTGTATACTACAAACATGATCGACAGACTTCAACCGCTGCCGAGGAGTTAGGAATCGATAACTCCATTGGTTACTATCTGACGACCGATTTGTGTACTTCAGAGTGTTCAAAGGCATGCGTGTCTGGTTCATGGTTGTCAGACAATGAACAATGAGCATACATCTCTGATAAATAAGTACCCTTTATACTTATCCTAAGTTTGCTCTTTGATGCCCTATGTCTTCATTTTTTAAAAATCTTCAGTGTTATATCAAACGTCTATACTTAAACATTAAATTACAAAATAGTTTACACAGGTATTTGCCACCTAACAAATGATAACGGAAGGTCTTTGAAAGACCGGATGTATTCCCATCAAAAGAAAATTTCCGAAAACTAATACGAATCAGAGACGGGTTCGAATTGGTGGTCACTTAAATGAACACCGTTTCAATTTGATGTTTTTTTTACCTGTGAAGTGAATATACTAGAGTTAATCACTACTTCAACACGCCTTTTTGTTTCAGCGAGATTTCAAAGGGTGAGTGCTGTAGGATTGTATATTTGTCTCGTAGACAAAAGAAATATTATTTGAGAAAGAATAGGGTCTCCTTCTGGTTTCAACTTTCCAAACCAGACAATTACTAACAGAAAAGCTATTAACTTGACGAATATTAAGTAAAAATGACCTATCATTTACGAAATTATCTAAGATACACTTTATTTGATAATACTTAATTTAAAAGGGTGACGAATAAATTTGAAAACTTGTGTCGCGGAAAGATTCAAACCAACAACCTTCGGTGGTTGAAGTGAATGTGAGATATGGTCAGCAGTTGGGTTTAGCAGCACCGTCGGTAGAGTGTACTATCAAAAAAGTACTTTGAACATCTTTCAACGTAGTGCAATAAAAACGTGTGCAATATAGATTGGTATGTTAAATTTACTAACAACAGTTGTGAAGATGTTATTACACAAAGCTCTGAAAATGGGTCCGATGCAAAAACCAGATCTTACCCAGACGGAAACTTAAAGATGATTGAGTTTGGAGCTTCATACTTCTGGAAGATAGTTGATTGCATCGATATTGGTCTGACAAATGAGGTGGAAGCGTTTATTCATTGGGTTATTGCTTAAGATAACTGGACCGGTAATAGAATTATCTAAGGGTGATGTCTTCAAAACAACTTATCTGACATAGTGAAGCCCAACGATCACTAAACAACATTAAAAACGACAGCAAACAACACCACTCAAACCTAACCTACCGAATATATGAACGGAGAGAATATAAAAGATCAGAATGCAAAATGAAGTGCCCATTTACAACTGCTGACCATTTTGACTGGAAATCTGAGAACGATAGTCCAACATTTCTATTAGCTGTTGAATTTCTTTGACAGCATCTCGCCGCAGTAACCTGAAGTCTTCATTTCCATTAGTATTAACAGCATCTAGATTCAATATTAACTGTTCCATATTTTCCATGAGACATTTGTACTCCTTACTCTGAGATGTACCTATGAATAAGTAGAGATCATAAGACGATGAAATATTAACAAACTGTTTACAAATTTCTTTCTCTACTTAATTACGTTTACATGGTTTTGTACTCAAAAACATGACCGCTAAGAAAGACTCAACGTCTTGGTGATCACCTGAATCCATTTGAACACATGATATATACAACATAACGATGAAGTTAGACGACTTCGGAATAATGTTTCATACTCCTGTGAAACAAAGTCATTGAAAATGTAAACTTTTCGGCGGCTTCGTGTGATCTTTTATTACAGACTTCGTAAAATCGCCCATGAATAACAGTGACATTATGTGGGTAATGTAAAGAGTGGATATTGAAATATAACGAAGAGGGATAACTAAGTTCCCGAAGTTGAACACATTTAGAGAATCAGGTAGTTGCAGTATGTCTTAGCAAATCACGACAACATCCATTTCCAAGCGCAATGCTCGGTGCAACCAAACGACGTAAAGAAAGAGCTCTCGATGTCCAGATTCTAAAGCGAAACTGATTAATGAAAACGCATAAAAACACCTCAAACTCACATGGAAATATACCTTCAATAACAACAACAAGAAACCTTTTATCAACGAGATATTTCTAGTTCTATCCTATAAAATTGCAATCAGAGAATGAGACTTTTTTTACTACTTAGAGGTCCTCAACTACATAAGTTGATGAATTATCCAGTTCAGGTTAGTTTGCGATAGAATGACCTTTGCTGTGAACCACCATTCCTTTCTCTTGAACATATCCAACAGATGAAACATTGAATTTACTTATTATTTGATAGTAAACTCTATACACCATTAAATCGTCTGAACAGTTCATTAACCGAAAGTATTCCGTTAGAAATAAGAAACGTATCGTCCATGTACCGTCTATACAGATGAAGTCCTGAAGCTGTTTCTGTAATTGGTCCATTTTTGAGACAACATCGAAACATCAGGCGGGGACACCATTGCTACTCCGTCCGTTTGGTTATATATCAAATCGCTAAATCTTAATTTGTATATTAAAAAGACATCTTAATAACATCGCCCTTAAGTAGCTCGTCGGTAATCTAATGCTGATGTCATTAGACTCAATGTAATCACATAGATGACCAACAGCTTTTACGAGTGGGAAATTCGTGAATGGGGACGAAACATCAGGCAATATCGCACGCTTATCCTTTACATTGATTTTGATGCAACGGACAAAACAAAATCTATCGGGAATTTAGCATCTACACATATTTTACCTTATAGGTTTAAGAATTTCAGCGGGCTACTTTGCTAATGAGTGATAAGGTGAACTAAGGATATCTACTATTGAGCAAAGAGGAATGACGTTTTTATGCACCTTAGGCAGACCATGCAAATGAAGTATGGTTGAACCGAATGGTCTAAGATGTTCCTACATAGCCGAGGTAAAATATACTACTACTGAAAAATTTGAGTACTGTGGAACTACTCAAGCTGATCCGTAGTATTTCGCCAACCAGATCAGAGTGATATAAACACGAGACGGCCGTTCCACTCGTTTGGAGGAGTGCTCATCAGCGGTGTACCCGGACAAATCAGCTCATAGAGCCGAATTAGTTCAGATTACCTCAAATACTACAGACCAGCATGAACGGTTTCTAACTACTCAAGTTGTTCAGTATTATTACCTTTCGCTAGTTCATGACACTTGTGTCAGACGTCACACCTTGTGATTTCAGCCGAGCGGTTTCCAGCGCAAATCTTGTTGATACCACAGTTGGGCAGTTGAAAAACTACTCAGCTGTGAGGAATGTCAACGTGGATCGTGCAATTTGTAAATAATTTGAAAACTGATTTTCTTATACCCAATGTGACTGTGGATTCTTCTCTGTTTTAGGATTTTTGATATCTGATTCTAAGTTTTTTCTGCCTTGTCTTTCTGGTCTCTGGATTTAAAAAACTTAGTTTCATCGTTCAGAAGTGTGCATATTTTAGTGATTTACTTATTTTAATCAAAAACAACGATACCTGATTCTTTACATGGGCATGAAAGTGTTATATCTTTATTATTTAGTAATTCTTTTAGTTGAACTTTTTCTCTTTCCTCGTCATCTTCATTGCATCCCCAAAGTATTGATACCAACAATGTAGTGTTACGGGTTTGAATCGTTCGAAGCATTCTGAGGAGGTCATGAGTAGATCTCCAGTCTGATTGATAAGGTTTTCGAATTGCACTTTCGTATCTAACTCATTAGTATTTAATGAAGCACAGCAAAACTTTGGTCCCTAAGACCAAATTTATACTTGAATGTTCAATAGGATTATACTGGAGTAATTAAATACATATCTCTTAGGTGCATCAGAGTGCTTTACATTTTACTCAGTATAATTTACTTAATTGTGGGTATCAGAAGAATCCAGGACACGCGTCTCGTCCTATTTCGGACTCGTCAGCTAAATGTACCTGTACCCCCAGTCAATGTTGTTCCTACTGAGACTCAAACCTCGTGGTTATCGTTTCAAACGCCAAAAGGTTATCCACTAAACCAGTCGGTAGTTTAAATACTTTTCTGCAATTTAATTTTCACATTTTCCACTTGTTTTTTAATCACCTCTGACACAGTTTTTAAATAAACCACATTCTTTACTTGTTAACCTGAAAGCAAAATGCTCTCATTGAGAAATATTTCTCTTGAGTTCAGGAAGTCGTGTATCAATGACATCAATCAAATTTAATGCATAGTGCTTCAGTATTCGACCATCAAGATAAATTGGATTACGACATAGTGCATTCCAGTTAAATTTCGAATACTCATGCTTCCTAAGGCGGTTGTTCTGTATATCGACTTTAGTACTCGCTTTCGCAAGTATGATAGAATCACGAAGAAACCTAGCAAGTTCCTACAAAGTTGCAGGGTTTTTGCGATTCTTTAACTGGTGAAATGTATCTATTTGTTCACGAATAAGAAGAGCAAGCTTGGTAATCAGTGGAGAAATTTTTCTTTCCAACGACCTAATTGTTTGTTTGTTAAATCGCTTTCACTTCACTTTGTGTATTTCAGTTTGACCATCGTCATTATCATCATTTTTCACTTCGATCGCACTTTTATTTCATCTTTAAAAAGCAATCTCTCCTTTTCTACTTATCCACTAAAACTATTCCTCTCATCCTCATCGACCGTATCATATGTATATTGATTGTTTAACTCTCCTGTGCACCTATCTGACACTACCAATTAAAAAAACGACTGTATAGCTTGATAATAAAGTCGTTGGAAGGAAATATCCCCCCTTGATGAAAAGAGTCTTTGACTTATATATATATATATATATATATATATATATATATATATATATATATATATATATATATATATGGTCTTTTGTAGTGCATCACAGCACGAAATTACCAAACGCGAATGCTACCCATAAAAGGCTAGAACTTGAGGAGTGTGCTGCAAAATAAATCTCAGAATTTTTTAACGAAATACAATACAGCGACAATGTCACACAAGTCAATGGGTCGCAGATGACTTAGTATTTGTAAGGCGAACCCGCATTTTTAGTCCCAACTCTATTCATTCCTTCACTTAAAGAGAATAATATATTAACGATTTGATGAAAACGCTTCTGGTTAACGTTTTAGATGTTAGTTAAGATCCCCAACTACGTGCTCGACTAAAACTGAGGATACATGACAACGAATCCCTGAACACTTTATTTCAATACCAAACGAGCGATTAGTGTATTTACGTATATTTCTCGGTGAACTTGTAAACAAGTCGTTCAATGTGCAATTTTCGAGAATTAAATTCGAAATTTTACGCCCATCGGAATTTTCTATAATAGCATGATTAAAAATACTACGTCTTCCCGCCTTTATGGGTTGGATTTTTGGGAAATATTGGCGTTGCCAAACAACTTTGATTCAATGACGAAATCGATTACACGAAAGCGAATTGTGTCTACTAAGTTTCTTTATCATTACATAAACAGTCACCTCGATATACGGACCTGTAAGACATTTCCAACAGTTTGTCGTAAAAGATAAGAATGTGAAAAGGCTATCGTACTTTATAAAAGTACTCTAAATCTTGATGGCAGAAAATGCATAACATACACACACTCATCCCGAAATAAGTATTTGCGAATTGAGATACACAGAACACAGGACTCGGGAAAATATCAGTTAAAATAAGTTGTCACACACCAGCATGTAGAGAAGGAAGCCACCAGAAACAGTGATGAAAACGGGTAAACTGTGTAGTAGTTCGCCACTTTCTACTGTATAGCCGTGAAACATGGCCATTAAGGGTGGGGGATATGAGAAAGATTCAGGTGTTCAGTCACCATTGCCTTCGTAGCACAGGCCGTGTGTCGTGGTATCACCACGTTGGTAATGCAGAAGTCAGCTATATATATATATATATATATATATATATATATATATATATATATATATATATATATATATATATATATATATATATATATATATATATATACTGGGATCTATCAGTTCAATCCTACAAAATTGCAATATGCGAATTGAGTTAAACGACTACTTCTGCATTTAAGGTACAAATGGATGTTTTCAGTGGATGTAGTTGATTACGATCCCTTGTTACTGTCAAATCAGATAAAATTTAAGTAGTCAGTCGTTGATATATGATAGGTATTTACTTCTGTTTATGGAAACACGCTCAGAAACCAGCTAAATGACCAGAATAATAAACCTTTTTGATACTTACTTGATATTTGAACACTACCAACAGACCACTCAAAGGATGAAGTAAAATGACATTACCAAGTCATGGAACATAGTCAGGTCTTGGCACCGGTAAGTGAGCTTTGTTCGAGAACCTAGTTGGTGGTGAAGACTTTAAGAGAAAGTCTTTCAATGTCTCAAGATTTTGGTTTTCTGGGGTGCCAGATAGGCGCAGAATCAATATGGACCTCAAATTTCAGCAACTAACTTAATGAAACTAATTCCTCCAAAATTATCACACAAGCGCCTCCCTCTTTCCTAATATACAAGAGTGATCAGTAATTGAGATCAGTTTAGTAGTTCCAATTCAGAATACCATACTCTACCTAATACCTTAGGAAACAAAACTAAAAATTTCCGATTGCTTTTTCTGATAACCTGCAGTAACTAATTATCAGAAAATGTATAGCACACAGAAGTTCGCTTTGACTTATGCTGAAACGGCGATCGAGAGTGCAAAACAAGATATTACAGGTGTCGGTCATAAGCATCCTCGTAATATACTAGACGTATAAGTGAACAGTGTTGATGATCCCACCTTTTTCCTAGAGAAGGAATGTGAATCAGATGAAAAAGTTACGGAACTGTCCTAACTCAGGTGACTAAACCTTTATCCGCTTCAACGTATGAAAATGGGTGGCAAATGTGTCATATTTCCAAAAATCTCTGCACATTTAATTCAACTCTTTCTGTTTTCTGTCATATGCTTTTTGTTTATTTTAACGTTTTTCTGATTTTTAAAATTCTCCTTTTACACTGCTTAGTACGAGTAAATTGAACTAATTGAGAGTTTGCAGTTTATTACCTTTCTAAATCAACTGATTGAGATACTTTGTTTGAAACCAGTTTGTATATTAGGTTGAAATTTATATCGATAATTGCCTTCATTGGCTTAGAGGTTCGACTCGCAACGATGTTACAAAAATGTATGTGATGAGTATACTAAGCTAAATAAAAGCATCAGACATAACTGCTCAACGTATTTTATGACATGTATCCCTAAATATATGCTTTGCACTACACTATGTGAACACACTCACCTTCAAAACGATCAATTTCAGGCCGCAGTGCACGTGCCTTTGACATTACATCTGCGATTATACTTTCACAGTTAGAAATGTGTGGATTATTTACTTGCTTAATGTAGAGAGAGTGAGTACAAAGTGACGCTAACCTGCTCCGAATTTTGTACATTAGTTCCATTTGGTTGGGGTGAGTATTCCTTATTTGTCACAGGATGTTCCCACTGAGTAGACCTAGTGTTATGATCCACAAAATACCATCTTCCTGTCCGTGTATCTAGTCGCATTTCCCAACCGGGAGGCAAAGGTTCTTCAAGATTCATTTCCCCACCAATCAGAACCAATAAATCTTTGGAACGTACCTGTCGACCAAGAAAAAATGAACAGCCACAGACATAAAGTTACAAAATATATTTAAAGCAAACCACAGTCCAAACAATAAAGATATCTTTCTGTGAGCTTTAATCACTCGGTAATTTGATTTATAGGCTAATTTAATCAGCAACACTTACCAACAATTGGAAACTGAGAGTAGAAATGATAACAAGTGAAAATGAGTTTCATTAATTACCTGGTATACAACCTAGCTACAACCAGCGTAGTGCCAACTAATGGCAGTGGCAGAGGTCAAAGACAAGAATGAGGCATCAACGATAAATATCACTTCCAAACTACTAGGCAGACGGGCAAAAAAAAGTCAAAATTCAGTGGGTCAATTACCGAAGCCAATTAGTTGTTAGTGATGAAACAAATTCAGTACAACAAGAGTACCAAGAAATGCATCATACACCAGAAGTCAGTGATCATTTACAATAGTAAGTGATCGCAATGACAAACAGAAAGCATTGAACATATATTATCAAATAAAAATGTTCATAACAAGTTTACTTACAATGATAAGTTTATTATTTTGGTAATATTTCTAGTAAAATTACTGCCCGTGATCATATCAACAGTTGAAATCTTTTTATTCACGTATTTACCATTTGTTCACAGGTAGTAATTTTGATCTAAATATTACCAGGAGAAAAATTATAATTGTATGTAAACTTGTCGTTAAAATAATTTATTTATGATACATCAGTCCACTCCACAATGCAAAAACTTTCCATGGATATATTGAAAAACATTTTAACTGGCCACCAGTTACGCACTAGGTTTACACTATTCAGTTGTAACCTGTATGTGACACAGGTATCGGGTTTCTAGTTCTCGCCAAAGTTCAGAAGAATTTAAAACAACCTGAAAAAGGAATCCCGACGATACACCTCGGAAAGAAAGACAGTATCAACACCAGACGTGACACTACTGTGCAGCGATCAAGGTTGCCATACATCATATCGGCAAATTAAGCGAGAATACACCAAGACAAAAGATAAACCAACAAAGAAGAAAACAGTCCCAATTGATAGAAAGTTACGAAATGACATCAAAGAGGGATGGGAGGATACTGAAATCCAGTATGACGCTCAAGACGAAGATAAAGTGACGATACATCAATGCCAGATATTGATTCTGAGCCATATCACCCAGCCTCCAACCACTGGTTTTGATGTAGCGTGAACCCTAACCTGGAAGTCTATAATTCCAACAATCAAAGACTTCTTGGACTGATTCCGTCTGGCAGCCTGTAGCCTTTTGCCAGCCTGAACCTACCTGAGACAATACTGTGCGACAGGAGCAGATGGTGAATAGCTATGCGTAACGTATTTCCTAGCCAACTAAGTGGATGACAGTTTACAACCCCACCAGTTGATTTACCTTCTCGTCCTAACACTACAGCTCACTTCTGCATGGTGGCACCACGACTTACAGCATGTGCTACGAAGGCAATGGTGGCTGAACACCTGAATCTTTATCATATCCTCCACCCTCAATGGCCATGTTTCACGGCTATACAGTAGAAAGTGGCAAACTGCAACATAGTACACCCAATTCTTAATAGGTGGTCGAATACCACGGCGACGTAATTTGGCAAACACCAAGCCGACCGTTTGTGTCCATACAGAGATTTCGTTGGTCACTGACCCACCAGGAATTGCCTGATGTCCCAAGTAGGTATAGTGGTTGGCGCGTCACTACCTATTGTTGATCAAGGCACCAGCAGAGACCAGTCCTAAAGCAACGATTTCCATTTGGGTGCTGCGAAACGCATACCGAACATTCACCGATTGTTAACTTAGGTGTTCGGAAGACAGCATCTTCACTTAACAGGATTATATCATTTGCGTCCTCTAGGTCTACTAAGGATTCTATTCTGATGACATCAAACCTTGATAAATAAGAGGATGTGAGAGAGACCTACATAAGTCCCTCTATGACAAAGTTGGGTAAGAATAGAGGGAATGGATATCGTTGATGGACACCACTCGACCTAGACAACTCATCATGGACCCGACCACACCGACGAGTGTTCGAGTACATAGCCTTCAACAAAATGATACACTTACCTGGTACCTTTTTCAGCAAGAGACGCTACCATAGGACCTCCCGGTTAACAGAAACTACTGCTGCCTCGGGTTGTAAGAATACGGCCAGTGTCGAGTGTCAGTAAGTGTGCCTGTGATCCAGAACCTGGGGAGGGTAAGCGTCTGATTGATATACACTCAAATAGGCCTGAAACGTATCTAGCTTTCGTGGGATACACATAGATTTCTGACAATTATAGAATCTAGAATTTCACTTTATGTCAGTCAGACTGAATCGCCTGGGGTTATCACAAAAGGATTTCTTCCCTTTATTGAAGACTGGAACAAACAGTGATTCAGATCAGTCAGGGGGGATTATATATGATTCCCATAGGCGAGTTAACACCAGTTAATCTAACCAAAAATCCATGACCACCATCCTTAAATACCTCTGTTACTAATCCGCCTGGCCTTGATGCACTTCATCATTTCAGGTTTCTCATAGCTTCTCGACTTCAACAAGAGTTTCAGGCCTTAACTCAATGTCCTATTCCGAATCCGAATGGATAGAAGGAAACGAAACGGTAGTTGGATGCCAGTTGAGCTGTTTCTAGAAGTGTTCTGTTTGTCGTTCTAGTCGCATCCCATACGAGTGAATTGCAGATCTACTCACCTCCACTAGTCCCACTAAACACTGACCGTTTTGAGGCAAATTCCTTGATAAGTCTACACGACTGGCTACTTTTACCTGTCGCCGCTGCATTTCCCACCTTATTAGTCTTTGCTACACACCATTGTTTGCAGTCATCGCGTAGAGTTCTTGTTAATCTCCATTTGAGTAGCTGTCGTTGAGTTGAGGTCGGTGAACGCCACGTCAGACAACGTTTCTCTTTATGTCTGAAGTTCGTGGTGGCCAGAAGTAGATGGTTGTTTGAGCGTAGTTCCAGCAGGTGACTGCCTTTACCTATTCGTTCTTCTGGGACTCCGAAAGTGACACCTAAGGGCCTTACTGTCTGATTTAGCCTACCCACTTATGTATCAAAACCACCTGTTACAATAATCTGAACGCCTAGCTTTTAGAAAGAGGTTAGACAGTTACCAGCAGAACTCATCCTTTACTTCACCCAAGCTGCAGCCAGTGGGTGCACCAGTAGAGATTACAAAGAGATAACGGTAAGTTTCACTATTCTGTTTAGTCTTCACTGTGCCGTCCAGTCGAATAGTGCACACGTAATTGTAAAATGGGATCCAGTCAAGCACTGAACCTCCTGCCTTAGCACTTAATACTATCCCAATGCTTGGGAGACAACGAGAACCAGCCATTGTATCTCCAGAGATGTGGCTCATTGGTCTATGTATTTGATTTCCAACCGATGGATCGCAGGTTCCAAAACATCCCCACCTACCGAGGTTTGATCAACCGTGTGGTATCATTAGCCTTCATACAACAGCTGTGTCTCATTTTCTACTGCACGAACATGCAAAAGGTTAGGACTTTAATTCAATTCGACTGTAACCCTAAAAATTCTCAAGGAGAATTTCACAGATTCACCGTACTGGTAAGGTGAGGTTAAGTTGATAACCAAACTTAGGTCCTTTATGCGTGTCTCATGAGCACAGCAAATATCCACGATACTAGAATTTTGATGAGGGAAGCTTGTTGGTCAACTTGACGAAAGGCGTAGACATTGTAGCATGATTTCAGGAGGCCAATGGTACTGTTCTGTCAACTCAAACCGTTACTGAGAACCACAGAGCTGGGAGACATTAAAGATGACGTAGCAGTATTGGCTGAGAGACGCGGGGAAAAGTTAGGAGGTAAAGATACGGAAGGTTGATAACGGTCATTACCTCTCTGTATGGCTTAGACCAACAATCAAAGACTTCATCAATCAGTGCCACACTTAAGTAGTCACTCTAAACCTTCTTCCAACACAATTCAACGTTTTCGAGTAATGTACACCAAGGTATGCAGTGGCTCGGCATGCGCAGCACATGTCCAAGTCATATCAGTCGACTAGGGCTCACAACCTCATCAACCGCCTTGCTTTCTTCGCCTAGTAACCTTTGTCTGATCTCAACATTGCTCATATGGTGATTCTACCATACGCGAGCAATGCTACAAAGATATCTGCGATCGAAACCCTATAACCACTTCATGACTTCAACTTTCAATGGCCATGTCTCGAAGACGTATAACAGGACAAAACGGACTGAAGCAGAGTATACTTGTCCTTTGATAGGTAGTCGGATATCTCTTCAGTCGGTGCCGAAGGTGACAAGTGGCAAATGCCAAATGGGCCTTCTGTATCTAAAATGAGATTTCGTCAGCAACCAGCCCATTCGAGCTCATGCAACTCCCCAAGTAAATGATATGGTCGACACATTCACTTTTTATCATTAAACCGGAAATACTTGCAGCAGACCAGTCCTGAAGCATCATCTTACAGCTGACAAGTGTGAAACGCATGACAAACATAATCAGATTTCCACTAAACGCGTCCAAAATACCCTACGTTTGTCAGATTTTTCACCTAGCAGAACAATATCGTCTGCGTACTTCAAGTCAACTAGATGCCCTTCAGGGGGTAGATCGACCAATGTGGAGTCAGGGGCACATAAGGTTATGTCCATCACGAAATTAAACAGAAACGGTGACAGCAGGCATCCTCTGTTGGACACCACTGTTTGTCCTCAATTTATACGACAACTCTCCAAAAGCCCTTACAGGGCAGCGTGGTTTCGAGTGGAGCTTTGACTAGAGTTGCATACTTGCTTGGTACCCCTTCCACAGTCAGACACTGCCACACCTCATAGTCGATAGAGTTAAATGCCGCTTTTAGGTTAAGAAATACGGCAGGTATTGTAGTGGGCGTTGCTGATAAAGATGGATATAAGTAGCATATGTTGAGAGGGTGGCAGAAATCATAGGGAATTACCAGCAGTGGGTAAGGATTCCGTCAAGAGAAACGCAAGAGATAAGGCGGGCGTATGAAGAGCAAATCAAACTGGACTTCAAAGTGTTCTGTCCAACGTTCTAGCCACCTGTGCTGAGAGGTTATCAGCATCCCACCCATTTTGGTGGTCTTCACTCACCATCGTTTTCTTCTTGACAGTGTCCCTAATAAGCCTAAATAGTTGCCGTTGCTTAACGTTGATCCTTTCTCCATTTCTCTAGCTTCCACCACCCATCACTGCTGGAAATCATTGTGAAGACTCCTGATCAGTATACGTCTAAGTTGTTTTTGTTCTTCGATGTGGTCACAGCCAGTCGGAATAGGTCTCTTCGCAACAATTACTTCGGATGACGTCGCAGAAATCCAATGACGTTTGCTAACCTTTGGAGTCAAGTCTTGTATACGTGTCTCGGAAACACAGCTTACAATCATGGCTCGAGATTCCAGAGTTCTGGCGAGCGATGCCTGCTGTCCCATATGACAGGGTTTGGACGTTGAAAGCTCCAATGTAAAACTGACAGTGGGTCTTTAAGAGACTAGGAATGGTGTTGATACTTGCTGGTTGCCCACAACACGAAGTTGCTCCTGTGGGGTAAGTGGAACAGGAAAAGATTTGTGACCGCAGAGCCAATGGGATGTCTGCTTGAGGCCTAACTCACACACACTCTTTGGTGAGTGTTGGTTTGAGATTTGGTTGTTCTAAAACCGGATAAGAAAAACCCATACCGACGGCACTGGAAGACAGCAGGGCAGGGAGGAGTGTGCTATTTTAGGGGTCAGCCTTTTCTACCACCCACCCCGTTCCCACCGGGAAGACTGCATTAGCGTAGCACTGCTAGCCATCGAAGGGAAATACTTTACTGCTTTCACTCCCGCTCCAGTTAGCCAGTTGTGCGACTTAGGCCTTGAACCCCCATCATAACGTAACAAATAACTTTGACGGTAACTGTTTTTCGTCTTACAGACCTTCCTGGAATGATAGGACCTCGAGAAAACAAGCGTTCCAGTTAGTGCAGCTCGTTAAGTTATTGTGTTATACAAACATAACCACTATGTCAAGGTACCAGCTGTCGGTTGGGTGACAGTATTTAGAACAGCTCTGTATCCACCTGCAGTCATTAAGCACTAGACTTATAGTAGTGATCTTTGACTTTTAAATGCATGCATTTGTTTGAGGTTTATTAGATACGTTCAAAATACGTTTAGAGTATTACATTTAGCCAATTGGTTAACGCTTCAAATAAAAGCCAATATAACTACCCAGAGTAGGTACTACGTTAATGACCGGTCCGTCCCGTCTGTCTTATGGAAACACTTAGCTTGTATGAAAGAGGATGTCATGTTGATATATCGTATCTTCAATAAACAATTTTGTATTTTGCCTCCTGGCGAGACTAAATACAAAGTCATCACAAGAAAATCCAAAAGCCAGTCATAACAACCAGTTTTTAATCTGTATTCCAACCAGAGTGGTCGAAGACTGGATTCCTCTACCTAACAAAACAATATCAATAGGATATCTTCCTCACATACACTGCCTGAATATCCTATAGTCTTCCAACAGTAAAAGTATTCTTTTAAACAAAGTCGATAACATTTCTTTGTGCATGAAAAGTAGACAGCCTAAAAGATTCATATTAACTTTAGACAGAAGAAACAATAGGCAAGGTTTTTCCTATAATACCACTGATGTTGAAATTCCAAACGTGCAATCAATCTACAACTGCCAAAGTATACTAAAGTAGATTCAATGTAGGATGAACTATCTTGTTTCAAGTTTGCTCCTTTCATTACATACTACTTTAGGGCTTTTTAAGTGGAAAATGTTAAGTTCTTTAATGGTCCAAACGGAGGACAGCTCAGCTTTCTGATCTATTAGATTGATCACAGTGAACAATAAATTATGTCCGAAACATTATCCAGTAAATACTGTTCCACTGTGTGAAATCTTTAATAAAAAGACTGAAATGGAATTACAATCTACCGCAGTCCCCAAGTTTTACTTCTATATTAATCCAAGATTCTGTCTTCACTCTTTTCCTCTGTTCACTAATTTAATATAAAGGACTATTACTTTATCCCATCTTACTGTTTGGCGTATTTGCATGTAAAACTATAGTGGGTTTTTCTGATGGATTACTCATCTTACTAGGGCCTATTAATCTTAATTAATTTAGGTTTTCGTGCTCAGACAGCCTTATTGACACTGGTTGACTGCCTCGATTTGTGTTTGACCGACAATTCATTCCGAGCAACTTGGTGAACTAAAGCATTTTTCCTAACTGGATCAATTGGATCTTTCAACCTTCAAAACTTATTTCTAAGTGAGTCTGTAGGTTTAAATACTACTTGGACCCCAGCCTTACTGAGAATCCAAAGTGATATTTCAAGTGTCTTCCTTGAGTGGTAACACCGTAGAGGTTTAGAATCCTCTCTTGACAATATTACCGTCATTATTACACGATCACTACTACTATCCATGTTTTTCTTAAGGCTACCAACGAATCCACTGACAAATGTAGGATGCTATCAACTCTACACCCTTCACTACCTGTGTGTAAAGAAAGTCCGTGCTCCGATTCCAATACGGTAAGCGTGTTATTTACACATGAAAACCCTATTCTTGAAAAACAACTAAATATGTCAAACACCTCCCGTTTCCAAATATCCACAAATGTGTTTGCCACGACAGGGGAATAGATGATCACATGGCAACTGGTTACTTTTGTTTGCATAACTTATTCTGAAACTAAAATACTGTAAGAGTGAGGCAAAGCTGTACCTCTAGGATAATTCAGTATACTGATAACTTTGTTCAAGGAGTGCGGACAATTTGTCCGTTAATAACTAACCACCGAAATTACATGGTTAACCATTAGAATTTTTTTGGAAACCAACCACTACCAGTGACGTTTTCAGTCGGGTTTTGTTTGGGCCCTACATGTAATAATTACCACTTAAATAAACCAAATGATAGAAACGGGGAGTCGAATTACAAACAAGTAGCAACTAGTGTGTCGTAGATAAACCACCTTCACTTTGTTGATTGGCAGCATATTTTAGAACGCTCGTCTCTTCCTATTAAGAACTCATCAGCTGGAGATACCTGCACCACTGTGAGCGAAATTGTTCCTACGGAAATTCGAACAAGTACCCGTCGCTTTAAACGCCAAAATGTTGTCCACTAGGCCACTGGGGCACGATAACCACCTCCACTACAATGGGTATCAGTTGTTGTTTTGAAACATAATTGTCGCTGCTATACAGAGCCGAATTGCTGGGATCTAACATCCCGAAAATCCAACGACATCGAGGCATCCGCATAGGAGCTGGTCTGCCAACAGATGTCGAGCAATTCGGCAACGTATAGAAACAGGAAATCACAAGTAACGAAACAATGAACTACCTTCACCGAAAAACTTGCCTTATGCTAAGTGCTTGGAGGTATTTGATAACACAGAATGACTTCCAACCCAACAATCTAACAAATCACCCGAAAAACAAACTAAGACCTAAGATGTGAAGGGCGTATTCATTCGAACCGTGCGGGGAAGTATCCAATATATCTTTTGAGTCATCAGGAATATATTATTCCTTGCTGGCAAAAAAGCTTCAGTCTTCCTTTAAGAAATATCATTAGAACATAGAGACGTTAAGTAATGCGGTTGAGGGTTTTACTGGTCCTCGATCCTGAGCGAGAAACGAATTTCCGGGAGTAGATGAGGCAATCTTTTAATATGAACCATTTAATTTTATCCTCCTGGGTGAAAGCTTCCAGAGAAGAGTAGGCAAGCTAAGTAAAAACTCTTTTCTCAATTTAACACACAGTTGTTTTCAATCCTGCCGATTTTCTGAAAATAGGAAAATGACTTCTTTGCATGAGACACCGCAGCAACTCCTAACCACTTAAGTTTGCAGTCCTTCTGTCCCTTTTAAATGCGTCCAGTTCGTAACTGAAGCATCAGCTTGTCTTTTCAGTCTTCTACTGCAAAATGGAGCCTTCCATATGTAGCGGTAAATTATTGACTACAATAATTAGCCAATACTTTAGTGATACTTGGGCGTTGATGCTGAACTTCACAGTTTAGTGGACTTGTTAGGCATAAGATATGCAGTCAAGTGTCGGTGGCTTTCGGAACACTATCACATTACGTTGTGCTCCTCCTTCAAGAACCACTAGCCAGCGGGTTTATTCGTCCCTGTATATTTGCACAAATCATTAGGTGTGCAGTGCATACCTTGATGGCCAACAGTCTTCTTTTTTAGATTCCTTATTGTGATTACTCATCAATTAGGAACAGCTAATGGCTTACCTCTGTATCTTTCAAGGTCGTGTGTGGTGACACATCGACAAATGGCCGGGGATACACGACACGTAGTATGTTCTCACTAAATATTTCGAATGCATCTGGTGAAAACTGCGAAATTTGAGAGCTTTTCGCAGCTGCTACACTTTATCCTTCTGGCGTTTTGATTCCGTGACTAGCTGTAACACGTTGGTCTTCAAACTCAGTAGCGTGCTGTTACTCAAGCAATCATGTAAGTCGTCGTGACTTGTTAGCATGGCAACTCTCCTGGTGTTAATGATTTCTGGACTCGCTCTCGCGAACCAATCTGATAGAATGTTTAGGTTGTATTCCAAGAACAGCTCGTCCTCGTCGCTGACTAGGTTCCCAGAGTTTAGCATCATCTGCAAGCATGACGGTGGAATATCCAGTTGCCCTAAGGAACTCAGTGGCAGTCTAATCCTCTCCTTTAGTGATGAGACTTGACAGGCGTAAGTAGTGGGGCACTGGCCGAAGTTGCTGTAAATCTAAAGGCCAGATTTCCTCAGTATGTAGTAGAATGGAATTGCAGATGGTTCTTCCCAAAGCTTGACATGTAAAATAGTCGGACGTCCTTGGCTATAGTCAGCGGCCGAATATCTATGAGCAATTTGCAGAAATGCTCCGTTGTGGCATCCCTCTTACCCTCGACTAATTTCAGCTGGCCGGAAGACGCATTATACAACCAAGATGGTGGTTCAGTGGTGGCATCCAGTCATGTCAATAATTTGGGGAAATTAGCCAGTCCGGACCACATTTGTAAAATGGAGCGGTTTTTTAAGGTGACCACCTTACTAATGGCTGTTGCTTCCACTTGGGAGTTGTGACCAGTGAAAATATATTCTTAACATAGAACGCGATCTTTAAGAAATACTGTGCTAATATGTAGTGACAAATCTCCAGCCTCAGATTATTTATGTATACTATGATCAAGATTATGTCGTATAGTGTGACAAATATTGGGCGCTGAGTAAAAGGTTGACATTAGATGTAGACTGCAATCGTGACTTACACAAATACAGCCAATATCTAATGTCAACTCAGACTCCATTGTCTACTACTAAAGTTCAATCTTCGTACAGCATCGTGTCTGGAATATCTGCATTTCTTCAGATCCTTCCCCTATTATAGAGAGAAACCTCTCAGGATGGTACCGGGAATCATGAATGGGCCTCTTTTTCATGAGAACTTAGGTCCTCTGTTCTTAAATTAACACAACGCAACACCAACAGACCAGATTACGATGACTGACCTGCCTATCAATAAATCAAATTCTCTCACGGTGATCACTTTCATACTTCACGTAATTGGGCTAGGTTGCACGAAGTTATATACTTATTCACAAACCGTGACTCTGCGGGGAAGCACTGTAAGGTCATCTTTGCTAAAGGGGGAAGAATATTTAAATTGCGCTTGCCATCCATCTGGTGCATGAAGCGAAGATTCACAGCCAATAGGCGATACGCCGCTTCATGCTGAAACAGAGACAGAGTTGTCCACTCAAGAATGATGCAAGTGGCTCCACCGAAGAAACTTCGACCAAGTTTACTCTAGGTGTACTGAAATCTACTGGACGGGTTATTTTTGCGCCTATTCATAATAACCTAACAAAGGGTCGTCAGTCTGAAGACAGCCGAGACCAACGACGCTTGAAGCAGCCGTACTTCCATGTACGGAGACTTCATGACTAGTGACGTGAGATGTTTCGTCAGTGCCGGCTGCGAGGGCGGTGGTTAGTGTTTGTAGACCATCCCCAGACAACCATATACCACGGTATTCTTTGGACACTTAGTTCCCCTCACATAAAATTGGCTTGTATCTAGAGACCTGTGATGTTGCATGTGGACCAAAATTTAGACCATGCCCCTGTGATGGCTACCGCGAGAGATCAGGGCTCTTCTTCCAAATCTTCTGGGTTAAAAAGTTTGCAACCAAGATCAGAGGCATAGGCCTAGCAGACCTTTGCATTTATTTCCAATCACTGAACTTGTCACACACAGGCCTTGTGTACAGTTATTCCAGCACCCATCCAGTTCCTGTCGGTCAGCCATGTCCCAACTCGGCCTAACTTCTAGGCCTGAAGCATCTTACAGGCATGTCCTAGAAAACCCCGGGATCCATTTATCGGTGTAGTAACAGAACACTTTAGCCAGGTCAGTGGCAGACAAGTCGGTTGGCTTTTTCCCTGCTTCTGACCAAAAAATAAACCTCTTGTCCGAGCACTTCTTAACACAACTAGCTTTCTAATATCTTTTGTTGCCAGTACCTATACGCCGGTAAGATACTGATTGGCCGTGGTACTGGCAGACACTGATTTGAGTGAGGTTGGTAAAGTGTTGGTCAGTAGAAACACGACCAACAACTTACAGACTCTCAGTTCACAATGTGGGAAAATTACTTCGCAGTGTTTACTAAATGCTGCAACTGTTGCGTGCTTTTTGATTCTGTTCTTGTGACGTATTCAAAAACATTGACCATTCATTTTATCTGACTTCACCGAATTTGCTCGTACAACCACACTTACCTCTTGTCCCGATTAGTGTTGCCAATGTATTTTGTCCTGGATAGAAACTGCAGTAGCCGTCAAAATTGAAGGTTTGTGACTAAGTTTTGTAGATACGCTTTGTTGCAAAGAACAATTTTTGCAGGGTTCACTTACTGTTTGAATATACATTCGTCGTTTGGCAATCAACCGTTTTGGATTTGGTTGGTGGTTTCGTGAACTCTGGGGATTCGAATCTTCGTTACGTACTACTCAGTGGATTTGCTGTAACAATAGTGTAACATTATTGTCATTACGCGCAACACATCTGATCGTTTCATGCACAAGTCCAGAATATACTAATGAGCAGTAAAATCTACGGCCTAATTATGGTAGGTAGACAGGCGGAAATTTCATTCGAAAGGGGGAGTGCAATGGTTTCAGTATCTGAACGCCACTGGCATCCCTCAACAGCATGGAGGTTTGATCCTATTTTGAGCCAGGACCTTGACTTCTGGAGTCCTTAGGGCTATAAGGGAAATCAAAAGAGGAACGCAAACATGGTGGTACTTACAAAGCATGCGTTACATCTGCTGAGCTTTCCTCGTGCTTTTGGATTTTAGCAGTCTGGCTGTGATACAGTTGCATTTTTCACCCGCACATTAAAGCTTCTACACATATGCACTATCCGCTAACTGTTGCTGTCATTTTCTCCACAGCCAATGGTTGCATATCTCTGGTTTTCATCAATACTTGAACTTTGGTCTGGACTTCAGTGTTCTTTGCTATTTGACGGGAAGTTATAGCATCTTGCTGCTTTATCTACCAGCTTACTGCAAAAGCTGAGGTTGACGGGCAACCAATAACTTTGATCTGTGTTGCAGATAGTCTCTAATCTTGCTGTTTTATTGTCAGACGATAAATTTTCGCTAATCTATGTCTGCGCCCTAAGGCCTTGACATGAGTAATATTATCGTTGCCGTAAGCAAACCAATCCAAAAAGCTGAGGGATCAAAAGTTTCAAATCCGTCACTAGAGTCTGAAAATGGCTTATTTACCAATGGTACTTCCGTCGATCTATTTGACGCCATGACTGACGTATATAGTGGTGTTGTTGCAAACAGGCGTAATACTGCTGACAACAGTAATGCGATTGGGTATCTTCATCGTAACCTAGACTGTCTTACACCTCTGATTTGCCTACTGAACCCTGCAACGGACTCATCAGTGGATAACCTTATCAAGCGTGGAACATTAGTGAACTTTGTAGCCACTGAAGACAGCAGACGATTGACTTCGTCGCACAACTCCATTGTCCTCAATATCCCTGGTGGCTTTACTCTAAGACCTGTTAAGAATGATCTCCTCCAAGCCTGTGGCTTGCATGAATCCGTTTGCACAGTCCAGCGCCTTAGGAAGAGGACTAGCAAATACTCTTGTCCAATATTATTCCAGCTTAGCTCACTCCTTGATGCGAGACGTTTTTGTGGCTCACAAAAATCTGTAAGACTTAAAAAGCTGTGAGAATGTTAGAGTACTTCCAGATCTTACCCCATGTCAAAGACGGACACGTGTTTCGAAACCTTATGAAGTCCCTTTGGAAACTTCATCGGAACCAATGGTCACCGGAAGCATACTGACGCCTGGGAGTTAGCTCCTCATACCAGATGACATTGTAAGTGTGGATTTAAAACGGCTGACCGAGCATATTGTTGCAAGCACATCAGCTGCTACTGTTTCACCATCCATCATGTTGGTAAACACCGAAGCTGAAGGTCAAATCTCCGCCAGTTATGCAGATATGCCCCCAGATGATGTTGATATGGATGGCAACGGTAATGATACGTCACATATGCACCTGATTCTCCTGAGTTTATCGACGAAACCTGCATCCCCCAGGTGCAGTTACGCTGATAAGACTTCACGGCCCTCAGATGCGATGTTGACCTCTGGGTGTATTGACAATGCACAGTCACAAAGTGCCATGCCTCGGAAATCTAAACCTAAAAGTCTTAGTCAGAGTACACTTCCAAAGCCAATGTCACGGAAATGTTTTAGCCAGCCCCGTAGTGACTATATTAAGACTTTTAAACCTAATGGTTACAACGTCAATCAAAGAGTGACCCCATTTCCTTACGCAGACACATTCACGACGTCCACCAGTATGACACCAAGCACTATGGCACCCTCACTAGCCAACAGGAAGGTAGAATTTACGCACCAGGATGGTAAAATTAAAGGGCAAAGGCGTAGAAATTTTCATGACACAAATGCCTCCCATACCCAAGAGAACAAGGGCTGCAGGAGAAACAACAGGTTTTTCTCCTCACATCCATCTACACAACACTGAAATCCAACGTATGCTTGCCCCAGTACAACAGCAACCTCCTAACTGGAGGCACGCTGTTCAGATGCAGCCTGTGTGACCAGCTCCCCAACACAATGCACCCTACCCCCCCCCCCCCCGCGCAGAAGTGAAACCACAGATTTCCTTGGCTCATTTCCGCAGACATCCATACCCAGGACCCACTCTGAAAACCCAGATTTTTGCTCCTTTTGCTGTCTAGATGGTGACGCTGTAGAGTCAGCTACTTTCGATCCTAGCTCATAACCGCTACAGTGGTGGGAAGATGTTTTGCTGACCTGCCATTCTCCCGGCTCATTTACCGTAGGTCAACACCTAACACAATAAAGGATAATATTAGTGGTAACCCAGTAGTATCTTATCCCCCCCATTATGTCCTGAAACTAAATTCTACCTATTGTTTCCCACCACTACTGTCTAACCTAACCTGCCAGAACAAGCTTTCCGAAAACAGGTCTAAGTACTACTGCTGATCCAATTCCATGACCTTCTGTTTGATTAACGCTCGTCCCATAGGCAACAAAATAAGTGAGATCACTATGTTGTCGACTATGCCTAACCCCTGCCTAGTATTTATCACTGACTCTTGGTGTACTCCAGGCACCCCTGATAGTGATGTCTCTGTCGACAACTATACTCTGCTAAAGGGAGATGGATATAATGGTAGAGGTGGTGGTTGCATCACTCATATCAGGTCCGACATTGCTGCCACAAGCTGTAGTACTTCAGAACTTAATTTGCTCAGTGACTCCGTGTGGGTTGTGGCGAAGTTTCCAAATGCTATGACTATCTTCCTAGGGTGCATCTACAGTCCCCGTTGCTCTATTGTAGATTAAGACGACAGGCCTGCAGAAATTTTCACCCATGTAACAACACCACCCCACTCCACGAAACTTATACGCGGAGACTTTAATATGCCTGATATCAAGTGGCAGTCACTTACTCCTCCTGGGCGGTTTGATAATTTTATTCATGTGTTGGTCAAAAATAACCACGACTAGGCAATATTAAAATACCATCTGAGAAGAGATGCACTACACGTTGTGATGCTCTGGCTGGGGTTCCTATTTCACCAGTAGCTCAAACCATGAGCTAAGTGATATCTTCTACAGTTCCATGAATGTAATTCGCTATCATATTGCGCCGGAGGTATCAGTATTAATAAGAAAGCCGAAAGTGAATTTCATCCCTGAAAATGTACGTG